TTTTCCAGCAATTTTGTTTTCGTACATTCAATATATACTGGTCTCCATCTCTGCTTCTCTTAATCTGATGATGAAACTCTCATTCCTTTTTTTGTTACTTCCTAGATTTGACTATTCTATTGCTATTTTAGATGGTCTCCTATCTTTCACCCTGAATAATCTTGTATGTTAACTGTACTGCCCATACCCTTAAACTCACTCCAGTCCAGTTCACTCACCATTCTCCACTCCATACCCACTTTAAAAAAAAAAAAATGGTTCAGGGTCTGTGTCACCACAAATTTTAAAAGTTTAAACCTTGCTTTCAAATTCCTTCCATACCCTCTCCCTACACTATCTTTACAACATCTCCAGCACTTCATACCACCCAGACATCTGCACTCCTCCAATTCCAGCCTCCTGTGCATCCCAGGAGTGGTACCTATGCTTTCTGTCATCTTTCTCCTTTATGATGCCTCTTGAAACCTATCTCTTTTTGCCAAGGCTTTGGTGACATCTCGTGTGGCTTGGTGTTTGATAATTTGCAGTCCTCTGAAACACCTTGGGATGATGCCACCTCAATCTGGAGGTGCTATATAAATGTAATTCATTGTTATTGTATGTGCTGATGTGATTAATATGGCCTAAACTGAAAAATATGCACTGTCAGTGAGAGACAACAAATTTGCAATTAGATGGCACCTTACATTTCACGCCTTCATTGACAGTCAAAGATGTACTTGCAAAGTGTGGTTACAAATTTGCTTCCTTTGCTTCTGTTTGAGCCATTTGTTGTGGGTGTTGACTAATAAAGTTAGTATTGGTAGCATTTTGCCCAAGGAAGTAGCAACACAACTTATTTGCCCTTGCAGCAAACATTCAGTAGACTGATTCCAGATATGAGGAGAAATTAGGTAGACTAAGCCCAGAGTTGAGAAGAATGAGAGGCGTTCCAATTAAAAATCGGGAAATTCTTTAGGGGCTTAACAGAGTAGATGCTAAGAAAAATGTTTTCCCCTGACTGCTGACTGATTTGGGTCGCAGTCTCAGAATGAGGAGGTCAGCCATTTAGGGCTGAGAAGGATAAATTTCTTCAATCAAAGTATCTTTGAATTTTTCTGTCCAGGAGAGCTGTGGATGCTTGATTGTAGGGTATATTTAAGACCAAGGTTGATAGACTTTTGGGTTCAAAGAAAATCAAGGGATACAAGGATGGTGCAGGAAGGTGGAATTGAGGTAGAAGATTTGCCACACTTCTATTGAATACTAGAGCAAGCAGGAAGGGCTAAATAACCTACCCCTGCACCTACTATGTTTTTATGTCATTCTGCAGATAAAGTGAGTAGAGAGATGAGATTGGATGCTCTGCTGCTGCGCGTACTAATCTATTTCTTACATTTTAGATGACAGGAAACTTCTTAAATGGATTTTCTCACAAAAGCCATATCCACAGGATACAATAAACCAACAGGATGACAATGGGCACTCCCTTCTACATGTTGTGGCTTCCTGGCAGAATGGGTTGGATGGATATACACACAAGTGTGAGTGAACAGTTGTTGTTGCGGTATCAACACATTTTTTTACTCTTCCAATTCTTCTGCCAGTTATCTCTGACAGTGTGGCAGGTTGTGGTCCATAGCCGTATCTGTGTTCAGCTATTTGTGGTGAAGGCCCTGCTTAAATGGTGTGAAAGCTCCTCTTGTGGTATGGGGGAAGCTATTGCTGCTGCTGCTCGAAGGACGTACAAGATTGCAGGGCAGAGGAGTCTCGCTTTCATTGATCATGTACACATACCCCGGCCCCTGTCCAGTCCCCTTGATCAAGTACGCTGTATTCAGTTGAGAGGACCCCTCGTGCAGCTGACAAGCTGCCACAGGGTTTGACCTTCCAGGCATGGTGCCTGCTGACAGAATCCCAGCAGTCGCAGGCCTTGGCCCAGAAATGGTCGTTAATTGGCCATTCGTGAACCTAAATTGGCAGCTGGACAGGAGAATCAATCACAGACCTTCCCACCCAGAACTTAATTCCGCTGTGATGTGGAGGTGGCAGTGTTGCACTGGTCTGGACAAAGTCAGAAGTCGCACGACACCAGATTGTAGTCCGACAAGTTTATTTGAAATCACAAGCTTTTGGAGCGTGCAAAAGTATGCGATTTCAAATAACCTAGTGTCGTGTGACTTTTGACTTAATTCAGCTGGACAGGAGGATCAACCACAGACATTCCCAGTCAAACTTTGTTCTGCTGGAAGGCAAGAAAGCTTTGGGTACAACACCACTCTTCCTAATGTCCTTCCTACCTTCAAACATACCACCACCAAGAGCAGAGGATTCTGCCCTGGAGTTCTGTACCCATCAGATTGGTTAGAGAACAAGAATCCTTTCTCTGACTATTTTTTGCTTTACAACAATCTAGCAAGATCACATTTTGTTCCTAATTGCCCTGACTGCAGTTAAATTCTGCATTACAGAATAAATTACATTTTCATCAGAGATGCCTGGTGATAGAAAGTAGATGCTGTATCAGTTTCACATGTAGCTTATATAAACAAACTGGATTCTCCTCCCTATCTCACTGAAGTCAAATTACCACTTCAACTAACAGATCCACTGTATTAAGACTTCAAATTCCAAAATGAAAGTAAACTGCAACGCGACAATGAAGCTAGTTTTACAGTCTTGTTCTATTCGTAACCAGTCTAGAAAGATCCTCTGAAAATACCCTGGGTCCCCTACTTATAACATATTCCATTATATTCATATAATTTGTGATAACACAAGGCCTGTCTTGGACCCTGAAATTTCCATTTAAATGAACAGCTGCTGTTGTCATGACTGTACAGAACTGATCTTCTGAAGAAAGCAATAATTATATGAAACTTTGAGTTCTGAGACAAAGTTTGCCCAAGAGGTGACTCAGTGTACCAAATTGTCAGGCCCGTGTGGCTGGCTTTTTGAATACTGTTGTAATGCACTGGAGTCTTCGTCATCCTGCCTTTGCATTCAGCTTTTTACTCAATTCCCTTCGCAAGATTAGTATTAGATCAGCTTTCTCCACTCTTTCAGCTAATGCATAATTCTCCATCTCCTTTCTGGTTCCTCTGGCAGTATATTTAAATCTGTATCCTCCCATTGCCAGTTTTCTACCAGCAGAGAGAGCTTCTCTTTATTTATCCTGTCAAACACTTATTATTTTGGATGTATTTATAAAATTGCCCCTTAAACTTTTCTGTTGTGAGAAGAAAAGTCTTGGTTCTTGTAGACTTTCCATGGAATGAAAGTTTTCATTCTGCAAACTTCCGTTAAACTCCAATGGAGCTGTCAAACCTGATTTTAAAAATGAGTTTATTTTTGCTTAAATAAGACGTTAAAGAATGTTTGATTAGGCACCTCAACCTTTTTATCTAAAAGAGCAACTTTGGGAGTTTGATCCACACTCTTGACACAGGAAAAAATATACCATTCTGTCCTTCATTGTAAGTAAATTAGTTGGTTTTTTTACCGTGTGCAGTTTTGGTCTCCTTCCTTGAGAAAGGATGTACTAGCATAGGAGGGGGTGCAAAGGAGGTTCACTAGGTTGATTCCGGAGTTGAGGGGTTGGCTTATGAGGAGAGACTGAGTAGTTTGGGATTATATTCATTGGAATTCAGAAGATTGAGGGGGGTTCTTATAGAAACATATAAAACTATGAAGGGAATAGATAAGATAGAAGTAGAGAGGATGTTTCCACTGGCAGGTGAAGCTAGGACAAGAGGGCATAGCCTCAAGATTAGAGGAAGCAGATTTAGGACTGAATTGAGAAGGAACTTCTTCACCCAGAGGGTTGTTAATCTATGGAATTCCTTGCCCAGTGAAGTAGTTGACGCTACTTCAGTAAATGTTTTTAAAGATAAGGTAGATATTTTTTTGAACAATAAAGGAATTAAGGGATACGGTGAGAACGTGGGTGAGTGGATCTGATTCCACGAAAAGATCAACTATGATCTTATTGAATGGCGGGGCAGGCTCGAAGGGCCGGACGGCCTACTCCTGCTCCTAGTTCTTACGTTCTTATGTTTTGTGCATCAGGATTTTATTATTTCAACACCATTAAAACAGACCTGTATTTTTAAAGGATTCTATGGTATGGAACTGACAATTAGAGTCTGTGTTTTTATTGGGGTGAGGATGATTGTGGTGAACTAAGTGTTGAGAAAAACTGCTCATAAACTTCTAATGCCCCAAATGAATTTCAGTGCAGTAGTTCTGAACGTATCCCTTCTGGCTGCGTCTCTAACTCTAATGTTGATTGTACTGACCTACCTGATGAAACTCCAGTACATTGTGCACATACACTGTCTTTTGTGACTGATTTTCCAAATGAGATTTAGTGTGCTCTACTGAGAGGATGAATACAACGAGAACATTTCCTCTTATGAGAAAGAGCAAATCAGAGGCCATTAATATAAGATAGTCACCAGAAGTCCAGTAGATAATTCTGAAGAAACACCTTTGTTCAAGCAACGGTGAGAATGTGGAACTCCCTGTCACGAGGAGCAGATGAAATTTTGAATATTGATGCATGAAAGGGAAAGCTAGGTAAGCTTATGAAGGAGAACACAATAGAGAGAGGTATACAGTGATTAGTTTTAGATGGGAGGGGTCTCAAATAGAACATAAATACTTGCATGGACTAGTTCGGCTGAATGCCTTCTATATCTGTGCCTTATTTCCTACACATTGTCCTTTGATCTCTTGTGTCTGGGTTCAAATCCCTTACAGATGGGATTAAAATCTTCTGTTGATTGTTGTAAAAATTTTCTGTGACATTCTATGTAAACATATCTTGGCCAGTGTCCTGATAAGCATTGGCCTACAGCACAAAATTGCCTCTGATTTGGCACTTATTAGGAGTATCACGGGAGGACTAAAAAAATTGCAAAATTATCTCTGACTTTTCTGAGCTTGGTGCTCAGGTAAGTTGTTAGAACAAAACAGAAAAAACTTTTATCTGCTGTTCAATGTGTCAACTTGGCAGAGAATATCTGAAACATAATGGCTTTGTTCTCTAGGACTAACTTTGGATGACAAAAACTCGGGGTACTGAGTGGAATTAGCTTTGGCAGGTGTGATTGCAAAGGATTTAGCAATTTGGAGTTGATGATTTAACATCCCTTTGTCCTGTCAGATACAGTTGAAGAAATTATTTATTTTCCAGAACCCAGAACGTATATTTCAGTAATGCTAACTTCTTCCAATCTCTTGTGGCTTTCATCTTAGGTCAGACTGAAGATGTGCGTTATCTCCTGCAATTAGGAGCTGATCTCAATATCCGTGATAGTCAGAACAAGCTTCCAATTTACTACCTGAAGAAACATAAAAACTTTAAAGCAGTTGATTTTATCAATAAACATTATTTAGCAACGGCAACAGACCCATCATCTCAAGGTACAGAATTGTTAAATACCTCATGTCCTCTTCCACACAAATTACTTGGAAATGCAACTTGGAAATTACAATATTTTTAAAAAATTGATATTTATATAGAAACAGCAAACCAGATGGAAGAGAGTAAATCTGCTTGTGCTGCTATTACATTTGAAGAGGCTGTTGAGCAGTTTGTGCAGTTTTGCAACTCTGAGATAGTGGAATCTTGTAATGACTTGATGGCCCAAACACAAGTCCAGGTGTTTCTACAACAGCTATCTACCATGACAGGTAGGACTTCCTTTTTAAATGTAAACCAAGCATGGGACCAAATAAAGCAAACCGATTTACATTTTAATCTAATGTTTTGACTTTGTGATGTTGGGAACCAGCTACTATATCATCTAGGATAGCAGATTAAATTCTCTTTCTCTGTTATTTCACACTTGAGGTCACTTTCTCTTGTATGTTTCATAAAGTGTGGGCAGCTGAAGCTAGGATTATTGGCTGCTTTTTTTTATATCTGGCAAGAATTTTGATGTCAAGGGACTTCAGGGGTTAGTTCACAATGAAATGGTCCTGTCTTTGGAATTGTGAAATTCTGGAGCTGCTAGGAAGAGTAGGGGATTGGAATGTTAAACTGGTAGCATGAGCTACCTGCTAAGAATCCACTCCTGTGATGGCAGAAATATTAATATAGTGATGCTGTAGAAACTACTGATAATGCAAGTAAACCTTTTTTTTTGTTGTTGCTAACATGGAATTTTTGTTTTTATTACCTTGAGATATGAGCATGGATTGCAAGGTTAGCACTTATTACCCATCTCTGATTGCTCAAGAGTAGGTGGTGGTAAGCTGCTTTCTTGAACTGCTGCATTTTGATGTGGTGCAAACGCATCATAGCATTGTGCAGGAAAAAAAATTCCAGGATTTTGACCCAGCAGCAGTGCAGGAATGGTGTCATAATTCCAAGTCAGGATAGTGTGTTATTTGGAGGGGAACTTACATGAGGTGCTGTTTCCAACTGTCTGCTGCCTTGTCATTCTAAGTGATAAGAGTTCAAGGGTTTGGAAGTTGCTGTTAACGGTAACTTGGTGAGTTGGTTTTTGTGTATCATGTAGATGGTATACACTACAGCCACTATGCATCGATGCTGGAGAGAGTTAGTTTTTAAGGTAAACTGATAAGTATAGTTTTTTTTGAAAGTATCCATACAAGTGTGCAAGCTACCTTTTTTATTACAGTACTGATCATTAAATAGAATAGAAGATCTAGTTGCACAGAAAGTAAGATTTATTAGTGTGATATCTAAATAAGTGGAGAGCTGGGAAGGACCTTGCCTGGGTCTTGGAGCACAACCTAGTTGAGTAAGTATAGGTAAAGACAGAATGCATAGACTATAGCTGTTGGTGTTTTAACTATATGGCACAATGGAATATTGTGCTGATGAGATGAATGACTTAATTATTTTAATGCTAATTACCGAGAGTTAGATGAACATTAAAAATAGGAGGATTTGGCCATTCAATAAGATTATTGTTGATCTTCAACCTCCACTCCACTTTCCTGACAAGTTCCCATATTTCTTTACTAATTTAGCTCAAAAGTCTATTAATCTCAGCCTTAACGTACTTACCAATTGAGCACTCACAGCCCTCAGAGTTGGGGTCCAAAGATACTCTGAACACTTGAGTAAAAACAAAAGTCTGCTCATCCCTATCCTAAATGGTTAACCTCTTTTCCTCAGCCACTGCCCCTACTTCTAGACTCCCATGGAAGGGGAGCAGTATCTTTGCTCTGCATTCCTTGCGTGGGAGTCTCTGAACCTTAAATAGATTGCCTGTCATTCATCTAAAGTCCAGAAAACATTGGTCCATTTTATTCACTTCTCCACTACTACTGAACTGACATTATGCCAAAGAGAAATAAGTCTCAATGTAATATGATCTTTATTATTTTGAGATAGCTGCATTTAGTTTCTTATTCTGTGCTGTTTTGCAGAGATTAATGCGGCCATTCTACAGAATGTTGAGTGCAAGGTTGCAAGCAGCTTAATCAAACAGCTTCTTCACAGCTGTAAATGGCATGATGCTTTGCTGTTACTGACAGGGAGTTGTAATGAAAAGCAAAGCCAACAGCCAGTTCTGAAATGTAACCTCTCTGATCTGGATCTTTGCACTATCGTTGGTAATCTTGACCAACAAGAGAACAGAGAATGGCTTCTGCAGAATTTAATGGACCATGGAGGTAGGTTAACTGCAGGACACACTTGTATTCTGTGGCTTTCTACATTACAACATTGATAAACGTTAGAAGTTTTTAGTTGGCGATATAAAAGGATGCATATGAATACAAGTTTCTTTCCTTTCTACCTTTTCTACTACATTTACTGATCCAGTCTTGCATTTGTTTTTGCAGCTTCTCCATGTGGAGTTAGCACTGAAGAAAGTCCAATATGCCTGTCTTTAAAAAAAGATGACTTCAAACTTGTACATCGCTTATTGATCAATGGAGGAAATCCGCAGGATCTTACACTCACTGCAGGCGACACCCCTCTGCATGCAGCAGTTTGTATCGTTCTCGACAAAAAAGGTCTAACTACGAAATGCTAACTTACCAGCTCGTTCTAAGTCTACTTCACAAGAGTTATTAGAATAAACCTTTTATCACTTCTCAAAATGCAGAACCACATTTAAAGGAATTTAAAACAGCTTGTGTTTGACAAAGTATCACATTTCAGGCTGGTAAAGAAAATTAAAGTTCATGCAGGCTTAAAGACAGAGAAGACCATGCGATATGGTCAATAGTTGATTTTCAAATTATAAAATGATGGACAGTGATGTTCTCTAAGGGTCAGTGCTAAGATCACTTTTTTATTATGTATAAATGACTTGGATATTTAAGTTGTGAGTAAAGTTTTGAAATTTTCTGATGATACCAAATTTGAGAAGTGTGTGCTAAGAATGGTGTACAGTGAGTAATAATGATCTGGGCCATGCTGTCCACAAAGGTAGTGGAAGCAGAGACAGTCAGTAATTTCAGACAAAAATTGGATAGGTACTTACAGAAAATAAATTTGTAGTGCTTACATATAGGGCACTGAGGAATAGGACTGAGTAAATTGGTGTACAGGGAGCCAGGACAGATTCAAGTGTTCGAGTGGCCCCTTCAGTGCTACAATGATTCTCTTACCCCAAATGCAGGTGTTTCATAAACTCAGAAATGCCTCCTTGCCATCTATCAAAAAATTCCACAATTAAATTTTTGTATATTTTTAAATGGTTGCAGTGATACTATTTTGTTTCTTTCTCGATTTTACAATACAGCATTGACTGGAATTGCATTTACTTCCCTCTAATTCTAAAGACTTGCATTCCTAAAATTCAGTCGCAGAGTTACTTTGGTGGAAATCACACTCAATCTCTGTCGTTTTTCTCAAGGTTCTGCTGGTCTAGTCTAAATTACCAAAAAGAAAAACTCTGGAACTTTGTTTCCACTCCCACTGGAGGAATTCCTTTATTTAAAGTGACATAAAAATGATCCCTGATCATTTTCTGAGGTAAAATCCACCAATACCTCGAATTGAATGAACTGGTAGTACTGGATCTCCACTTTTGAAGTATGCAAGACATTTCGGACATGTATGTTTTATTTGTATGTTTCATTCAAAGCTTTTCATTTTGAGATTTTGCTGTTGTTCTCACCCCTACTCTGCTCTCTCCCAGAGCCATGCTGGAGTTCCATTGGTCCTCCCCTTCCACCCTCTGTATTCAATGATTTATTCTCCACCATTTTTGCTGGTGATGTGATGTAACTATTAAACACATCTTCCCTCTGCCCTTCACGTTTGGTATTCTGTGGGATCCATTCCTTCGTGATGCCCTAGTCCACTCCTCAGTCATCACTAATAGACCTAATGCACTTCCTACTGCACTTTTCTCTGCAAGTGAAGGAGATGTAGCACCTGCTCTTTTATCTCCTGCATTCTGTGTCTAAGGGCTCAAACATTCCTTCCAAGTAAAATAATGAATTACTCCCCTTCCTTTCAGTTTAATATGCTGAGTGTTCCATGCATGACTGGAGAGAACAAATGCAGATTGGGTGAGCTGTTTGCAGAACACATTGTTCTGTTTATAAGCACCAAGCTTTTGGTTACTTGTCACTTTAATCCTCCACCTTCCTCCCAAGCTAACCTTCTGTCCGTAACCTACAATACTCCAGTGAATCTGAGCACAGTATGAAGAGTAACATCATATCTTTCAACTCGGCACTCTACAGCTTCCTGGACTAAACGTTGAGTTCAACAACTTGCGATCATAACTACTTCCTCAATCATCTTCTGTTTCTTTTTCTTTCTTTTTGCCAGGTTAGTCATTGCCCATACATGTCATGTTCAGATGGTTTTATGCCGCAATTCATATCTCATTTGGACACCACTGTTATTCACTATACCCGTTACTGCTCTCTTTGGGTAGCACGTCATGAACAATTTTGTTATTAAATATCCCGAGGCCTCCACCCTGTCACAGACCTTCTCATCTGTTCTTTCTGGCCCCTGCTTCCTTCTACTGGTTTAATTACTCCTACATTTCTAAGTGTCTCCTGTTCTGATGACCTGAAATGTTAACTCTGTGTTTCTCTGCACAGCTACTGCCTGACTTACTGAGTATATCATAGCATTTTCTGTTTTTATTTCAGACTTCCAAAATCCAGGGTATTTAGCTATTGTATAAAAAGGGCCAAACTTGGTTCACACCACAAAAGTGTGACCATATTCACAAAAGTTCATTTTTCTACTGTAATTAGACAAGTCTAATTTTGTTTCTGAGGATTTTTCATGTTATTTTCACAACCCAAGGCAAATTGAATCCTTGATTTTATATCTAGAAATACTGAACATAAAATCATGAAAGTAACTTGGTAACGTATAAAGCATTACCTTACCTGTCAAATCACTAGATTCCTCCTTTTGACCAGAAATTGATGCACCAACTGACCATATTCTTGTTGGTCCTCTTTAAAAACAGTGTGGGAAAGTTGACTTGCTCCCATTTACACCTACTCTGCTCCTTCACCCCAAATAAAACTTGTTTTGTGGTATAGTAGTATCACTATCTGGAAGCAATAGGAAGGAATTTGACTTTCAGGACAAGGCTGACCCAACCCTGACACATTACTGCAAATCCATATGAAGCAGGGCTGTGGTCAGACTATTTGTATTTCTAGATTCTCCAGTATAGGCAGGATAGAAGTTGTAACAGGTTCCTGCGACTGTTGCTATGATTGTGTTTATTGTTACGAGGAGTGATGATGAGAAGTCAGGGACTTTTTTTTTTGCAAGAATTGGTAACTAGCAAGAAGTCTTCAAGATTATTAAATGATCACAATAGAGTAAATAGTGTCAGATTTCATTGGCCAGTTCGTGAAATTTCAATTAAAAGTCAAAAGTTTGAGATCGATCATAAGAAGTATGAAAAGGAAAGTCTCTAATTCCTTTAAACAGAGGATATTCACAATGTTGAATTCTTGCCGCAGCACATTGTTGAAGCAGAGTCCAGAAACATTAAGAAGTGAGAATTGAATAACTACTTTAAAATGAGAATCTTTAGAAGTGTATAGGCTATGAACGGGAGTGAGTTTAGAGTAGTTGGTAGTGAATAATGTAGGTACAGACATTTTGAACAATTGAGCTTTTTGAGCAACATCTTGTGCTATAATGTGATGTGTATATTGACAGATTCTGTGTTGCTGACTTTACTGTTAAAGTGTCTTGTGTGATCTTTTCCTTTTCTACTTGCAGATGAGATTGGTTTGCACATATTGAAATATCTGTTGGAAAAGTACGGCACTGATGCAGCTCATTATCCATATCTCAATCCCAGCTCTCAAGATAACAATGGAAATACTTTGCTGCACATTATATTTCATAAACCCTACTCTAAAAATCATGAAGAAATAATGGATCTGCTAAGCAGGTTTGAAATCAACAGCAAGATGAAAAACAAGGAAGGGAAACAATGTATGTACAAAATTAAAAAAGATGACCCACGTTTCATCCTGTGGAATAAAGCAATATCAAGAAATCGAAAGAAGAGAGAACAAAATGACCAGAGTCAGAAGTCACGAACTTCAAGAAGTGTGAAGAATGCAATGGGCAGAAAGCGACCTTCTCATCAGAAGGTCGAGACGGTGGAGAGTTCACAGTCTGATGGACAGACACCACTGAACGGTCCCTCTGAGGCTTCCCTTAAAGTGGAATTAGAAGGGCATCCACTGAAATCAAGGGATGAACCAAATGTTGCTTTGACTGTGGAAGAAATCCTAGTGAATGAAATTAGAAAAATTATTCAACAACTTAATGTGGTTGAGACGCCGGTAGAAGCAAGCTGTTCCAAACTACCCACTTTTGACACTTTGCTCAATGATTCAACTCAGACTTTGGAATCGAGAACTCCAGCTTTCAAAACAGATTCTTCGCAAAACGCTGACAATTTTGAAGAAGTGATGTTGAATGAGACCACAGAGCATTCAAACTGTTCTGCGCAGCAATATCCAAGCCCTGAAGAAGTGACCGATTTGCAAGACCTGGACTTTGATAATATGACATGGGAGATTGAATGCACATCAGAGTTACTGAAAAAGCTCAGTTGCAGAGATGTACCTCAGCAAATGAAAACAAAAGTTGTAAAGGTGATTCAGCAACTTGGAAATGGAGAATGGACTCAGAGCCTCCAAAAGCCACTTAAGCATCTGAACAGCCCCATTAAGCTTTATGAAGCTAAACTTGACAAAGGGGCAAGAATGCTTTGGGAACTGGCAGTGGATTTTTCACCACGTTGCAGTGAAAAGCCAGAAAAGATTTTTGAATCGGAGTTTTCTTCTCATCCTCAAGAGAGAGTCACAGGAAGGGTATATAGTGAGATCATTCGGATCTGGGATATCATCCTAGACCACAATAAACTTAACCGGGCATTGGATATGATCTGCAGTTCATATGACCGTGGACAAAACTGCATCCTCCGCAAGAAGCTTAAAGGAATAAACAAAGCTGTGCTTACTTCAAATTTAAATGTCCAAAAGAGAATCCCATTATTCTTTATGGAATGTGTCGATTGCAAAGAACCAAAAGAAAAAGTACCTGAATACTTCCCACCTGCTAGTGCAGTGGAAACGGAGTACAATATAATGAAATTCCATAGCTTTAGCACCAATATGGCTCTTAATATCCTTACTAATCTAGAGACCAGAGTTGAATATCCTTTCAGAGTGGGCGAGTTAGAATATGCAATAATTGACCTTGTCCCTAAACCATTACAGGCAATCATTCTGATTGGCCGAAGTGGAACAGGGAAGACTACTTGCTGTCTCTACAGACTTTGGAAACACTTCCAACTTTACTGGGAGAAGACACAAGTTGACAACCCCTGGTTGGTGCGACAGGTATGGCATAAATGGAAAACAGGGCTGATGGATGATGAAGAAAAAGAATCAGCAGTGAAAGATGATAGAACAGATTTCTCTGATAATGTAAATTGTGAGGAGGAATTTGAATCTGTGGTTCAAAGCTGCGATTTGGATCTAAATGGAATGGCATTTGATGGCTGTGGCAGTGATTTGACAAATGCTCACGAAGATATGCTGGTGAATCCAGGTGTTGCTGATAAACTTGAACACTTGCATCAAATTTTTGTTACCAAAAACCACGTGCTGTGTCAGGAAGTCTTGAAAAACTTTGTAGAGCTTAGCAAGTCTACCAAAGCTACAGGCCACTTCACACCTCTGGAACCTACTATTTACAGACTTCAGGACATTAAGGATGAGAACTTTCCGCTGTTCCTAACCTCAAAGCAATTGCTGCTGTTAATTGACGCATCCTTGCCAGACCCTTTTTTCCCTCGAAATGAAGATGGCAGTCTGAAACGCACAATTGTGGGTTGGTCTGTTCAAGAAGATATGTCAATACCAGATTTAGGAGACGAGGATGAAGAAGAGGAGAATGAGGGAGATTTTCTGGATGATGAAAGTAGGGTTGTCGAGGGTCATACCAAAGAATCTGATCCCCGTGTCTTTGTGACTTATGACGTATTTGCAAGGGATCTTTGGCCCAAGATGGTAAAAGGCAAATCTCACTTTAATCCAGCTTTAGTGTGGAAAGAGATCAAATCGTTTTTGAAGGGTTCTATTGAAGCTTTAAATAGTCCTCAAGGTTACCTTACAGAAGAACAGTATATTAAACTGGGAAAGAAGAGAGCACCAAATTTCCAGGAAGACAGAACTGAAATCTACCATTTGTTCTGCTTATATCAGCAGATAAAATCACAGTTTAGATACTTTGATGAGGAGGATGTGTTGTACATGATATCACTGCGATTATCGAAGTCTGATGTACTGCCATGGTCTGTTCATGAACTTTATGGGGATGAAATACAGGACTTTACGCAAGCAGAGCTTGCCACGCTCATGAAAAGCATCAGTGACCCAAATTGCATGTTCCTTACTGGTGATACGGCTCAAAGCATAATGAAGGGGGTTGCTTTCCGCTTTAGTGACCTGCGTTCCCTTTTTTATTATGCCCATGATTCCAATCAAAATGAAAAGAAACAGTGCAATGTGGCAGTGCCGAGCAGAATTTACCAACTTCACCAGAACTACCGATCACATTCAGGTATTTCCTTCAGTCTGTTGTTTGATAAATTAATTAACTGCAAATTAGCATGCAAAATATTTGTTATAATAAAAAGAAATAATTAGAATTTTACACATTATTTTTGTCCTTTGAACTGGCAACTTTATAACCAAATTCCTTTACATTTAGAATCATTCTGGCCCCTCTTTCCTGAAAGTTTTAGAGATCGCTCAGGTTTTTGGCATCAAACTATATGCCAAGCTACAAAATTGGTTTCACCTTGCATCTGTGTATAACATGTCTCTATATCATGGGTTCTGAGCTGTTACAGTTACTGCTTTACTGTAACCAAGTGCTTTCAGATTTGATGGATGCTTGCGTTTGAACAGTTTGCATTTTCACATCTTGCCAGCAGTGGTTCAAAGAATCCCCTTCATTGTTGATTGTACATTTCCCATTTCCTGTACCTGTATGCATTGTTCACATTTATATCCAATTCTATCTGCCAAATCCCATTCATCTGCATAATTGATCTAAACCTCTGGTTTTAAATCCGATTTGAGAAACTTAAGCCGAGTCCTGAAGGAGTGCTAGTGTTGGAGGTGTTATCTTTCAGAAAAGATTTGAAGCTAAGCTTTGCCTGTTACCACGAGTAAACATAAAAGGTCCTATGAAGCTATTTTAAACAAAACCATGGATGTCGTTGGTAATGTTCATCTCATCCAACTTCTCCAAATCAGATTACACTTTCAGAACAAATTCTCTGCTATGTGCAACGTCCATTATAATGATTTATAGATCAAAAGTATCACCTGTATATGCTTTCAAATGTTTTCAGCTGCTGTAGTGGGATTTGAACTCTCACATCTCTGGATCATTAATGCAGAACACAGATTATTAAAAGCATTTGCGTAACTACCATGCTATATGAATGATAATTGCGCTGTGCTTACGCAGTGCTTTTCCAATTGTCACAATACTTCGTCATTTGTTATTAGCCAAATCTTAGGCAAAAATGTACTGTTTCCGTCAGCTCTTCGCACATGTATGGGGAGACAGATTTAGTTTTTGGGAAAACCTGCTACCAATGAGTGTGGTGGAAGGTGAGACAATTAGTGATTACTAAAGAAAATTGAATGGTCATTAAGAGGAATATACCTGTGATTGAGCAGAGGAATCGGGCAAAAGAAAATACCCTTACAGAAAGCTTATAGGACTCCAATGAACCGAATGGCATCTTTGTGTGTTGTGTTGAATCAATGAATGTTACCTACCGTTTTGTCATTACATGCCTTTTTGGAGCTGCTTATTATTTATTGCACTTGACAGAGTTGGCAGCTGTCAGTCAGTGCTAGCACTTTTGCCCCTAACTGAAGAGGGTGTGGATTCGAGCCATACCCCAAGGGTTTGAGCACAGTATCTAGACTGAAGCTCTGGTGTAGTACTGAGGGCATGCTGTACTGATGAAGTTTCTGTTTCTCAGCTGAGGCATTTCACTTCTCGGTTGATGTATAAGATCCCACATTCCTGTTTCAAGGAAATGCAGAGACGTTCTCCCTGGTCTCCAGGTCAGTATTTGTATACCAATCAAAATCACTAAAACAGATTATCTGCTCGTTCACCTCATTGCTGCATGTAGCATATATGTGCTATTTCAATGCAAATCTGCCTTGCATTGGCTTTGAGTGGCTATTCTGATTGGACAAACTGACTGACTACAATCACAGCTCCCTCTCCATGCAGTGTTGCCGGTGTTAACATAATGTTAAGACTAGTATTTTTAAATAGCAAATAAGCAATAACTAAAAGAAGCAAAACACACATGATCACAAACAACTTGTGCATTAAATGTTTCATTATAGCGTTTTACCAACGAATGCAAAAAAGAATTAAAGATGAATATATCTTGCAAATATGAATGTTGAGATCAAATCAATAAAGTCCCTCGAATTTCCATAGTTAATGTTCACTGTAAACAGTGCTTTGTCTTTTCATATTAAACATCCAATTATATGGATGTTACGATAAATTGTGTTATTTACTGGTTTTTCTTTTACTTAGCTATTAAAGATAGACCCACTTGCAGTCTCATAACCACTGTGGCTAACATATTGGACAGCAATATTTTAAACATTGACAAACTGTACATAACATCTTTAATTTTTGGTGTGCTTTCTATTGTTTAATGTAAGCTTCTTGTGTATATTTAGGAATTTTGAATTTGGCTTCTGGTGTGGTGGATCTTCTTCAGTACTATTTTCCAGAGTCCTTTGATCGCTTACCAAGAGACTCTGGCCTCTTTGATGGACCAAAACCTTCTGTGCTAGAGTCCTGCAGTGTCAGTGACTTGGCTATTTTGCTTAGGGGAAACAAGCGGAAATCCCAGCCAATAGAATTTGGTGCTCATCAGGTTTGTATTTATACATCTGATCCTGTCATGTGTATTTTAATTAGGAAACTCATTTGATGTCCTCAGTGTGTAACTGAGCCATTTAGATCATGAACAGCTCAAGTGATCAACTTGAATCGTAAAACATCAAGAAGGAAAAATTGGGATCAAAAATTGAATCAGAAAGACAATTCCTACAGTCAGAGAAAATCATAGGGTGAGCTAACATGATTTCCAGTAGTAATGATGCAGAGTTCCCCTACTCAGCACTGATCAGAAGAGCTGCTGTTCTCCAGGAATGAGAAACTTCAGTTCTGAAAGTAGATTGGAAAAGTTAGGTCAGTTTTCCAAAAGGAGATTGAGAGTTTTGACAGAGGTGTTCAAAATCGTGAGGGGTCTGGACAGAGTAGAAAGAAACTGTTTCCATTCACGAAAGAAATCGGGAATGAGAGCAGCTGGTCTGGAAAACTCTGGTTTCCTGGCATTGGACATGATCTCAGTCTGAGCTGCACAGCCCCTGATACTAATGCATTCAGTACTTTCCTAGATATTTTCTTGTACAGAAAACCGTGCTCCAGGTGGCCGTGTCACCTGGTTCCTCCACAGCCGAAACAACCATCTTGCACTAAACCAATAATTTCCCACTTGTCTTCAAATGCTCATTGTCATGTCCAACCTTAGTGATCTGGTTTGATCATTCTCAACCTACCACTACACTCTTCGTGACTACAAGTTCCATCAAGAGCTCTTTTCAATATTTACCAGAGTTAGTGATCATGATGGGCTTCTGGAAATGGACCTTTTGGCTATACAAATGACAGTTAACTCCCATGTTTCTCCTTGGCTTCAGAGGCCATGTCACCTTTTAGATTGGACAGTTATCATTCCCTGGACACTAAGGATTCTGTTAGTGTTTTTTCCTGTTATCTTGGTCTAACTGATTTGTTGTTGGATATGCACCATCCTGAAATGGAATAATATTACTATTCCATGACCATCACTGGGTCAAACGCCTGGGACAGCACCCGAAGAATGAATCAAAAACAAAATGCAGCCGACTGCAGTTTTTTCTCTGTCGCATAAGTCAGCGTTGCAAATGATCTGTATTGAGGTTGTGTCGTCATCATCGGCATTGATCTTGTAAAATTGATTCACTATCCTTAATTTTATAACACCATACTTTTCAGGTTATTCTGGTCACAAATGAAAAGGCAAAGGATGCAATTCCAGAAGAACTTAACCTGGCCCTGGTTCTGACAATTTACGAAGCCAAAGGTTTGGAATTCGATGATGTCCTCCTCTATAATTTCTTCACGGATTCTGAGGTAACTGCTCAGAAATGGGTCAGGTTTTAGTTTAGGAGGGAAGGGGATCTCTGTATGAGGATGGGGGGAGAGAACTCCTGTTGTTGTAATTGCCCCCATCCACACACCAATCCAGTGGTTTAAGCCAGGTGAGGGCAGTAAAATCAAAAACAGAAGTTGCTGGAAAAGCTCAGCAGGTCTGGCAGTATCTGTGGAGAGAAATCAGAGTTAACGTTTCGGGTCTGGTGACCTTCCCCAGAACTGGGGAGGGCAGTAAAAACCTTGCCTGGATGGGACCAGTCTGGAGAGCAGAGAATATTGATTTAGATTGGGAAGTGAGGAGATTATAAGTATGAATTTTAACAATATTTTGAGTACTTTTAATTGAAGAATGTACTGTGTGTTTGATGCTTTTCAGGCTGATAAGGAATGGAGGGTCATCTCCTCTTTTCAACCTTCACCTCAGTCAAAAGACAAATATAAGCCAGTACTGGAGCAACCAATAGATGATATTGTTTCACAAAGCAGACCTCTTGAATTCAATGTGGAATTGCACAAGGTAAAATGTAATGCAATTTTTGTAAGGTAAAATTTTTTTTTAAGAAAAGAAAATCTTGAATGGGATGAGAGCATTGCTGGCAAGACTAAACTTTATCACTAACCCCTCAACGCCCTTACGAAGGTGGTGGTGAGTGGCCTTCTTAAATCACTGCAGTCCTTATGTTGCAGGTGTGCTCTCAGTGCTGTTAGAAAGGGGATTCCAGGATTTTATTCCAGCAGCACTGTAGATACAGCAATATAGTTCTGAGTCAGGAACAAAAACAAAGTTGCTGGAAAAGCTCAGCAGGAAGCATCTGTGAAGGAAAAAACAGAGTTAACGTTTCGGGTCTGGTGACTTTCCTCAAGTTCTGTCTGTCTTCAGACAATTTAAGTCACTCCATGTGATATCAAGAAAGGACTGAAAATGCTGGATGCTGCAAGGCTATAGGCTGCAACCACATTCTGACAATAGTACTGAAGACTTGTGCTCCAGAATTTGCACGTACCTAGCCAAGCTGTTTCAGTACAGCTACAATATTGGCATCTACACCAATTAACACTCACCAGCCTACTCTTGATCTTCAGTAAAGTGATGGAAGTTGTCATCAGCAGTGCTATGAAGGAGGATTTAGTTAACGATAACCTAATTATTACTGGCTGTTGTTGGGTTCCGCCAGAGCTACTCATTGGAACTGAAATGACTTCATTACAGCTTTGGTTCAAACATGGATAAAAGAGGTGAGGTGAGAGTTCTTGCTGTTGACATAATATGACAGAGTGTGGCATCAAGGAGCCCCAGCAAAACGAAAGTCATTGGAAACGGGGGGAAAGGTCTCTGATAGTTGGAGTTATATCTAGCTCAAAGGAAGAGAATTGAGATTGTTGGAGGTCACTCATCTCAGCCACTGGACATCACTGCAGGAGTTCCTCAGGGTCATGTCCTAGGCCCAACCATCTTCAGCTGCTTTATCAATGACCTTTCCTCCGACAAAAGATCAGAAGTGGGGAAGGTCACTGATGATTGAACAATGTTCAGCGCTTTGTGACTCCTCAACTTCTGAAGTAGTCTGCATCCAAATGCAGCAAGACCTGGACAGTGTGAAATTTGCTGCATCTAACAATATGCCATCCATTGTTGCAAAAGAGAAGACTTTGGCCCTCTATTACAAGAAAGCTGAATACATTTCATACATTCCCATGCCATGTTTAAACTGACACGGCAAGCATCCCCATGATACACATCTGTAATTCTTTGCAAGCACTGCATGTCAAATCTAAGATGTACTGCAAATAACGAGGACTTACTATCCAGCTGCTGTGTGAACATGCTCAGTATCTTGGCATTAGTCATTTCTTCTTTTTGTAGTAGTCAGCTGTATTTGAGCTACCATGACAAGAAGAGGGTTTCAAAGACTTACAACCCTCCAATAAAGGAAAAGCCTGCCCTGTTTCTATTTTAAATGAGCAATCCTGATTTTTAAGTAGTGACCCCTAGGTTTAGATTCGCATGGAAAAGATGCTTCCTGCCCATATCTACTTTGTCAAGATTCCTCCGAATCTTACATGTTTCAGTCACGTCACTTCCTACCCAAATAAACTTTAGCACGTGAAGCCTAAATTGTCCAATCTTTCCTCATTCAACCCTCTGAGCCTCCATTCCAGGTATTTGTTTGGTACACCTCCTCTCAAAATGCGTCCAATGCACTTGCATCCTTCCTTAAGTAAAGTGACCGATACTGTACACAGTATTCCAAATGCACTATTACCAGTGCCCTGTCTAACTGAAGCATAACCTCCTATTTGTGGAAGATGCTTGTGGATCCAGACAGGATGCAACATCTAACACATCCACTGCAGCCCTGGCCAAAGCCATCTGTGTCTTCTACAGCAGAAGCTCAGCAAGAAATCATGCAAGCCCAATGTACTGTCATCATGGCTGAGGAAACCAATGTTCATATGGCCTGCTAAGGTTCAGCAATGGGAGTGGGGGTACTTTCCACCAACCAGGCTGCAGACAATTATATAGTACTGTGTAGGAAAAACTAGGCAAGGAAGACAGGCACAAAGTGAATTCACAGGGACGGTTAGTTGACATTTGAATGCAATATGACTTGATTTCATCAATACATTTGGTTTTGATTTTTTTTTGAGATGATGTTTCGTTTTGCAATTTGGCCAATATCTAATGGTCAGGAAAGAGGGAAGGAAACGTGTAAGTGAGTTGGAGAACAGGTAATTGCAGTTGCATGTATTGGAATTGTGATGATACCGAGCCAGAAAGTGTTCACTACCTTCTCCCCTTCTCTACGTTCCCAGCTAGTTACAAGGCCCATGTTCTAGTTGTGGCGAAAATTGTGTAGCATGCAGCAGACTATTAGAAACTTTGATATCTGCTCTGCCATGTACTACACTGCTCTTCCAGAGTGATCGAGATAGACAACACACTCCAATGATCTGCTCTGCCATTTTTCCTTTGACCACATGGCTTTCATTCATGCACTCGCCATGGATCCCCAGGTTGGACACTGGAATCATACACTCCGTTTTAAAGTGTAGCCCTTGTCATTCAGTAGCCGCTCTGATTTTCCTCCAGTCTTCATTTCCCATATTACTGTTTTGCTCTCTTGCCTTGACTGTGCTCTTACCCCCTCACCCCATCGTTTTAGTTTAAAGCCTTGTCTACTTATATAGGTAAGTGGTTTGCTTAAAAAGACTGGTCTCAGCACAGTTCAGGAGCAGGTCATCCCAATAGTACAGACCCCACTCTCCCAGGTACTGATGCCAGTGTCCCATGAACCGGACCCACTTATCCTACGTCAGACTTTGAGCCAGATATTTATTTTCACTCATCTTACTCATTCATGTGTGTACACACTTCCAATATTGTCCCTTTAAAACAGGAAGTACCATGTATTGGGAAAGGAATTAGAATTCCTGGAATTGTCCACTTGTGAAGGTTTAGGCCCTTGACTCTCAAGTCATTGTTATGGACAGGCCAAACAATCCCCAAAATATATTAAGAAGTTTTTTTTTTAATTTGGTTATGGGATGTGGGCATCACTGGCCAGGCCAGCATTTTATTGCCCATTCCTAATTGCCTAGTGGTAGGTTTGGAGTCACATGTTGGCCAGACCAGGTAAAGATGGCAGATTTTCTTCCATAAAGGACATTGGTGAACCATGGAACCATTAACCTAGACCCTAACCTTTTTTTATTTTAAAGGCAAATGCCAAGAATTGCGTTCTGGATGCAATTCCATTGGTCAAAGTACCGCAGAATCATAGAATCCCTCAGGCCATTCAGCCCATACTGACCCTCCAAAGAGCATTCCATCCAGACCCAAACCCCTGCCCTCGCCCTACAACCATACGTTTCCCATGGCTAATCCACCTGGCCTGCAAATCCGTGGACACCATGGGCAATTTACCCTGACCAATTCATCTAACCCACACATCTTTGCACTGTGGGAGGAAAATGGAGCACTGGAGGAAACCCACATAAACACAGGGAGAATGTGCAGATTCCACACAGTCACCCAAGGCTGGAATCAAACCTGGGTCCCTGGCACTGTGAGGCAGCATTGCTAATCACTGAGCCACTGTGCCTCCCTACCAGATTTGAAGCAAAGCACACTTTATTCATACACTATAGTTAAAATACAACAAAAGAAAAAAGAAATTGGAATAATGAACTCTATTGGAAAACTTAACAGAATAATAGATTATTTAACTACTAAACGCTGTAGTAGCATCCCATAAATGCACGCTGGGCAAAGACAAATTCAGTAAAAGTAGATTATCTCAGGCAATTCGTCAGTCCAGGAGGAAAAAAATCAAGAGAAAACAGAGAGAGTGTGAGTAGCAGGAAGAGATGTACTGTAGCTTCAAAACCCCGGCAACAACTGCTACTGAAAAACTAAAACTAAAAATCCTGGCTCATAGGGACCCACCCATTCAGGCTGTTTAATTTATGGGCTTTGAGTAGACTACTCAGTACCTCTCTCTCAACTTTTCTTCATTAAAAAGAACAGGAGAAAACACACTTCTTTTAAGCCATAGTATTGTTGCACCATGCTCTGCCCACATTCTGCAGCATTCTTCAAGAGCATCCTGCCACTTAACAGAGATGAAGACATGTAGTGTATAGTATGCAGCATCTTCAGAAAGAGAGGTATTTATGTATGGGGCAAAGCATTTTGCAAATGAGAAGCGGTAAATACGACTGGAAAAGTAACAGAGTGGAAGTAGACAAGTTGAAGAGTGGGGTATTCGTTGGTTTATGCAGATTATAAAAAGGAAGTTTCATTCATAATCGCAAGTGTTTAGGGTTCAGGCCAGAGTGCAATATAGATTGATTGCACCCTTCATGTCAAGAGCAGTACAATTGATCTGTCAATGAGCAGTCTGTAACACTTCAGCTCCTTTTATTGGAATTGGCACCTTCATGTGACAGCAGACATTGTGCTTTGCTGACTTTAATGCAAGTACAGGTGAAGTGGCCTTGGAAATTATAGGCAAGTCCTTCAAGCTAGTGTTAAAATATGTAACTATCAGTAGAAAATAATTCATTTTCTTAAAATAGTACCTTATGCAACTCTTGAGTAGCTCCGGAAAATATCATGGTGAACGGAATAAAATTCAAAAACTATTTTTGTTCTAAGGCTGTTGTTAAAATCTTAAGTATATTGTCACAGCTGAGTAAAAACAATGACTAATGATCTGTTGTGCTGTGCAGGCTCAAAAATGAATGTTACGATCAGTTCTAATCAAAATGCTAATTTCTTTATGTATATCAGTTGCTGAATTGTGAACTCAAACAATTGTACACGGCTTTCACAAGAGCAAGGGTCAATTTGTGGATCTTCGATGAAAACAAAGGGAAACGTGACCCAGCCTTCACATATTTCATCAAGAGAGATTTCGTCAGAGTGGTCAAAACAGATGAGAACAGAGGTATGAAAGTGGAGAGGTTAAGAATACTCAACACAGCCAAAGTTTTATGGTTGTTTGCAATGTTGAAATTTAGGCAGTCAATGTATGCACCTAAAGATTCAAAAGCTTATTCAACAATTTTTTAAGTTTTACTTGGTCAGAAGTCACACAACACCAGGTTATAGCTTTTGGACTGCGGCCCTTCGTCAGGTGAGGTGCAGAGAGGCACGTATGAGAGAATTTATAGCAGAGAGATCAAAAGATCATACAAATGGTGTGAGTGGAGTGTCGACAAGCTGAATAATAAGTCTCTGCAGGTGATCAAAAGTGTCAACAGCTGAATAACAAGTGGAGGGATAACCTACAATCCAATTAACTGAGGCAGAGAGACAATTACAAAAAATTAAAAATAAAGTGGTGCTGGAGTCAAACTAAATGACTGGAATAACATAATAGGTATAAGAGTCGCATGATGTGGGTCTAACCAAAGTAACAAGTAATTCAAAACTGTACAACCTAATTAAGGTAGAGAGGTCATAACAAGTTATCAAGGTGATAGTGTCAAAACAGGACAGTATGGAAGATTTTACACATACAGAACAGTATGGCTGGGTTACCTATAGCTCAGCATGAACGCAAGATCACAGTTGAGGCCGTCTCCATGGGTATGGAACTTGGCTATCAGTGTCTGTTCGGCGATTCTGCGTTGTTGTACATCCTGAAGAATGCGTTTGAGGACGCTTACCCAAAGATTGGAGGCTGAATGTCCTTGACCACTGAAGTGTTCCCCGACTGGGAGGGAACATTCCTGTCTGGCGGAGCCCCAAGGCATGGTATATTGGTGAGACCATGCAGATGTTACAACAATGTTGTGCAGTGTCCATTCATCCATTGTTGTAACGCCTGCATGGTCTCACCAATATACCATGCCTTGGGGCTCCGCCAGACAGGAATGTTCCCTCCCAGTCGGGGAACACTTCAGTGGTCAAGGACATGCAGCCTCCAGTCTTCGGGTAAGTGAACGCCAAGGCAATCTTTAGGATGTACAACAATGCAGAATCGCCGAACAGACACTGATAGCCAAGTTCCACAGCCACGAAAATGGCCTCAACTGTGATCTTGGCTTCATGTCGCACTATATGTAACCCCATCATACTGTTCTGTATCTGTAAAATCTTCCTTACTGTCTTGTTTTGACACCATCACCTTGATATCTTATGGTGTCTCTACCTTAATTAGGTCGTACAGTTTTGAATTACTTGCTACTTTGGTTAGACCCCCAGCATGCCACTCTTATACCTACCATGTTATTCCAGTCATTTGGTTTGTCTCCAGCACCACCTTAATTTTTTGTAATTATCTCTCTGCCTCAATTAATTGGATTATAGGTCAGCCCTTCACTTGTTGTTTAGCTATTGACACTTTAGTCAGACTGGCTGACACTTTTGATCACCTGCAGAGACTTATTATTAAGCTTGTCGACATTCCGCTCACACCATTTGTATGATCTTTTGATCTCTCTGCACTTCACCTGACAAAGGGGCAGCACTCCAAAAGTTTGTAACTTCAAATAAACTATAATCTGGTGTTGTGTGACTTCTGACCTTGTCCACCCAAGTCCAACGCCAGCAGCTCCACATCATAAATTTTACTTGAGGAAGAGAGAGAGCAGCCCTAATTTGCAAGCTCCTGTCTTTATTGCAGCTCAGTCATGAATGGGCTTCAGTCTTTCGGACATAAATTAACTAGCCTAATAACTATGAAGAGTTTAAACATTTTGCGTGGTGTGATTATAGTGTAAAATGGTAAGAAATTTATGTTTTTAGCATTGTGCTGCATTGACTATTAGGTTATATCTTTAGATCATGGAGTAGGGCTTGAACCTCTAGCTGCAGCAAAAGCCCTACCAGCCAAACCAAATTTAATGGTCATTTTTAAACAGGCCAGAGAGTGGATGTATATTTCATTTCCACCTGAAATGAGCAATACTTTATACTTTTGTTCTGTATATCATTACAGCAGTGCAAAATTTGCAACAACATCAGCTTGCATTTGTAGTATGTTCATTTTGACTTGGATATGTTTTACTGGAATGAAGTTAGTTCAAATTTATTTGAAGTGCATGTTCTTATTTTTTTCAGAGCTTGATGACAGCATGTTTGTAAAGGCGTCAACGATGCAAGAATGGGCAGAAAGAGGTGACTACTTTGCAAAACATCAATGTTGGAAGGTGAGATCAAAAATGTTAAAGTTGAAATGTGAAACCTAGCTGGTGGCTTGATGACCAAGTAAACAGGCCCGACAGGATTTTTCAGAATCCTGTAAGGAGAGGGGAATGGGTGAAATTCATTATGGGTGAACAGGTGAGATTCGATGTGCATGAAAGATCAAACATGCAAAAAGACCCAAAGATGTCAGGAATTTGGAACCAACCCACCCAGCTTCTGTGTTGTACTGAAGAGAGTGACCAGCCTATTTCCCAGAAGGAGGGTGGCATTTTAAATATTTCATGAGGCAATAAGCCTCAAACTAGAGATAGTTAAAAACTGCTGATGCTGGAGTCAGAGATGACCCCTTCTCCAGAAAGGATCCTGACCCGAAATGTCAACTTTCCTGCTTCTCTGCTGCCCGACCTGCTGTGTTCCTCCAGCTCTACGCAATGTTAAACCTCAAGCTAACCTTGTTTGTGCCTGGCCAGATTTCCTTGGTCTCAGGAAGTGCAATTGTTGTAGTGAGGACAGCCTTGAAGGAGAGGCTTTAACAGCACCCAAGCCCCCTAACCACAACAGATTGGACACCACTCCCTTACCACCACACCACAAATTGCACAGCATATTTGGAAGTCCCGATCTCTGATTATCCTATGTGCTACCTAACTCCCTTGGTCTCAGTGTGTCACTGAGTAAAATATGCCATCCATATGTCTTAAGTTGTGCATATCATTTTCACTAACCCCTAAACACATCAGGTCATGAAGGCAAAGTGTCACAGGAATGAGGGAAGAATTAGCCTGAATTCCTTATCAACTTACAGATGCCACTAGTTAGTTGAAGCTAATGATGTTGCCTAAGAGCACAAAGAGTTGTTCGTTTTTGCCTTGTAGAAGATTTAAAAGGGACCTAAGGAGCAACGTTTTCATGCAGAGGGTGGTGTGTGTATGGAACGAGTTGCCAGAGGAAGCGGTGGAGGCTGGTACTGTAACAACATTTAAAAGGCATCAGGATGGGTATATGAAAAGGAAGGGTTCAGAGGGATATGGGCCAAATGCTGGCAAATGGGACTAGATTAATTTAGGATATCTGGTCGGCATGGACCAGAGGGTTTGTTTCCATGCTGTACTTTATGCACGCAAGGTCCATAGTTTGAGAGGTTCTTTTGTGGGGAAAGTATCAAGCAAAAGCAAAGACTTAAGAATAAGGTAGACAAACAGGAGGCTGGAAGAACACAGCAAGCCAGGTAGCATCTGGAGGAAAAGAGCAGTCAACGTTTCAGGTATTATCCTTCTTCAGGACTGGATGTGGGGGTAGGGGGAGCTGCAGATAAAGAGGTGGGGGGGAAGGGGTGGATGTGGATTGGTGGACACTGGTGGTAGATACGACCTGTTGGTCGATGGGGGGATGAATCCGGTTGTGGCTGGAAGGGAGGGTCAGAAGGTGGAATGGAAGGGAGGAGGTGGGGCTGGAAGGGGAGGCAGGGAATGGGTGGCAAGGTTATTTGAAATTGGAGAACTCAATGTTGAGTCCTCCAGGCTGTAGGGTACCCAGGTGGAAGATAAGGTGTTCTTCAAATTTGCGTTCTGATTCGCTGCAACACTGGAGGAGGCTGAGGATGGACATGTAGAGGAGGAGTGGGGCGGGGAGCTGAAATAAGACTCTGGCTCTCATTCAGAAGTGCAAGTTCAAAGTCAAACATCCTAGACAGTTTGGATTTCTCTCGCTCTCTCTCTCTCGCTGTCTATCTGTGCTAGCTAACATCCCTTTCCTAGGAAAATAAGAATTACTGGAGTGAACAAGATCCATTTTGATTCCCTTCTGCCAACCTGAACAGTTACATGATACAATAGTGGGGAAAATGTGAGGTTATCTACTTTGCTAGGAGGAACAGATATGCCTGTTAAATGGTAAGGGCCTGGGAAGTTTAGATGTACAAAGGGACTTGGCTATCACTGAAGTCACCAAGGGTCAGCAGGCAGATGCAGTAGACGATTAGTAAAGGTAATGGAATATTAGCCTTTATTGCAAGAAGATTTGAGTACAGGAGCAGTCTTGGGCAGCTAAAGAACTAGTCACCTCCACAAGCTTGTATCCAAAGTCTATCCATGGAAGTTGTGTTTCTGTTATTGTGTTGAGGCAGTTAGGTGTTTAGTATATTAATGCACAAAGCTATTTTAATGATCTAGAAATGTTACACGTAAAGCTACATTTATAACAAAGTTTACACAAATTATATGGTTTCTATTTGCTTTGTAAAAGTTTCTCTAATTCTTTAGGTGGCTGCCAAGTGTTACCAGAAAGGTGGAGATTTGGAAAAAGAGAAACTGGCACTAGCACATGATGCCGTTCTTAATGTACAGGTTAAGAAAAGGAGCCAGAGGTAAGATATCCTTCTTGTAAAGCTTTTGCAGCGTTTTATTGCTATTGTTTGATTTTACTTGCAACGCAAAGCAATTTTGAAGTAAGACTAGACATAACGCACCCAAGTCCATTGGTAGTACGAAAGGAAATACTGCAAGTGCTGGAAATCTGAAATTAGGACAGAAAATTTTGGAAATAATCTGCAGGCCTGGTAGCTTGTGTAGAGGCAAAATGATGTTTCAGGTTGATAGCTTCGTCAGAACTTTATTGGTATATTGACTCTGTTTTTGTTTTGAATGTTGGCTTTTGAAATGGGGCATGCCAGGCAGGAATGTGGATTGGAAAACTGCTTCTTTGCCTTTGCTGCCATTTTTAGTTCTGGCTGCTTGACACTGTGTAATACTTTGCTTCTCAAAGCTGTTGTTGTGGTTTTTGTTTTCCACATGGGATTTATCAGCCCTCATACCTGCTCTTTATTCCTCTCATTCTCCCTAATGTGATTACTTGTTCCAATTCTCACTACCTTTCAGCAAAATTCCTTGTTCCTCCACATTGTATTTTGGTTTTTAGTAATGTCTCTGCCCTGTGAAAGAATTTAGCATGTTGCTGGGAGCTGAGGTTATCACCGTAGCAATAGGAAGGAGGGAGATTTCCAGATTTCAGATACAGCAAGAAAACTTAGAAGTGCATTCGGAGACCAAGCAGGCCAAGATCTAGAACACCTCTACCAATTTTTGGTCACCACAGTTTTGTATAATTAGGTATAATGATATGATTTCATTTATTGTAGTCACGTCTACCTAAGTGCAGTGAAAAGCTTTGGTTTATGAGCAGTACAGACAGATCACAGCAAACCAAGGCATATAGATCATAGGGTGCTTAGACGGAGCGAGGGATACAAGGTTATGGCTACAAGGAGGTGCACAAAGCAAGATCAACGTTATTTGAAGTTATTCCATTCATCAGTCTAATAATGGCAGAGAAGAAGCGGTTCTTGAACCTGATAGTGCGTGTGTTCAAGCTTCTGTATCTTCCGCCTGATTGAGAAGTTGGAAGAGAGCATCACTGGGTTGGGAGGGGCCTTTGATGATATTGGCAGCCTTTCCGCAGCAACAAGAAGTGTAAATGGAGTCCTGAATAGGAGGTTGGTTTCTGTGATGGTCTGGGCTGTGCGCACACCTTTCTGTAGTTTCTTACAGTCCTGGGCAGAGTAGTTGCCATACCAGTCCATTATACACCCTGATAGATGCAGCATAGAAAGCATTCTGTAAAAGTCAATTCTCCTACCGGCGAAACAGGTCCACAGTGGACACCATTTCCCTAGCCCTACGCTCATCCTTGGAATGTCTAGAAAACAAGGACAGCTATATCAGGCTCCTACACATCGACTACAGCTCTGCCTTCAACATAGTAATCCCTACCAGACTAATCTCAAAACTCGGAGAGCTAGGTCTCGGCTTGCAATCTGCAACTGGATCCTCGGCTTCCTGACCCACAGACTGCAATCAGTGAAGATGTTATGTGACTGTAAATATTCCTCATTTGCTAGATTGATACCTTGTAGTTTTGGTATGTAGATGTTCAGCAACATGCAGCTGAGAGAAATAATAATGGGGAGGCAATGGCCTAGTGGTATTATCACTGGACTGTTAATCCAGAGACCCAGATAATGTTCTGGGGACATGAGTTCGAATCCCGCCACGGCAGATGGTGGAATTTGAATTCAATAAATATCTGGAATTAACAATCTAATGATGACCATGAATCCATTGTCGATTATCAGGAAAAACCCATCTGGTTCACTAATGTCCTTTAGGGAAGGAAACTGCCATCCTTACCTGGTCTGGTTTACATGTGACTCCTGACCCACATCAATGTGGTTGACTCTTATCTGCCCTCTGGGTAATTAGGGATGGGTAACAAATGCTGCCTGGCCAGCGACTCGCTTGTCCCGTGAATGAATAAAGAAAAAAAAAATTTGGGATGCAGCATCCATTCCGAGTCTTCAGTTAATGAAGGATTTCTTCTGCAAAAAAGGAAAGCATGTTTACGATAAAGTTCTTTTTCTTCCAACTCTTTCCAGGGAAATTCAGATTGAATACCTCCAGTTGGCCAAGATTTACCTGGAGTGCAAAGTGCCAAAACTGTCAATGAAGTGTTTGAGAAATGCGAAGGAGTACAAGCTCTGTGCAGAACTGCTTGAGAAATTAGGAAAGGCATGTGATCATTGCTTCTGTATTCGTTGTTCTTGTTTGATATCATGGTAATATTTCCAGACCATCCTTTACTTGTCGTACCACCTCTCTTGTCAGATTATAGAAATACTTTTGCACGTGGGACAGGGGTTCTGTTTTCTCGATTGACTGATAATCATAATCAGAGAAAAGTATGCTGCAGCATTTTTAACATTTAGCTCCCCCCACCGCCCCCCACACCCGCCACCACTGCCACAAAGTATATGGCTGCAATCTTCTTACTATCTGTGGGATATACTGCAATATTAAAGCTTCATCAGCAGCAATGTGCAAACCTATGATCTCTCTCGCGAAGAAGGCTAAACACGGAATATTGTCCTCCAGTTCCTTTCCAAGTCAGACATTTTCAGGAATAGGCAACAAGGCTTTGTCTGGTGATGCAATGTTTGACTAATTATGGTTGAATATTATGAGGAGGTGACTAGGTGTGTGGGTGAGGTTAGTGCAGTTAGTTATTTACATGGACTTCAGTTAGGCTTTTAATTAAGTCTGATACCACAGACTGACTAAGAAAATAAGACTCCATGGAATTCAGGATAATTTGGCAAATTGAATCTAAAATTGGCTTAGTGATAGGAAGGGTGGTAGTTGAAGGGTGCTTTAGAGACTGGAAGCCTGTGTCCAGTGGTGTACCACAGGGTTTGGTCCCTTGCTGTTTGTTGTGTACATTAATAATAAAGATATTAATGTAGGAGCTAGGGCTAGTAAGTTTGCAGATGACATGAAAATTGATGGTATGGTAAATAACAAGGGGGAAAGCCTTAGACTACAAAATGTTATAGATGGGCTGGTCCAATAGACTGAGGAGTGACAATTGGAATTTAATTTTGAAAAGTGTGAAGTGATGCATTTTGGGAGGACTAACAAGGTAATGGATTGCATCTTAACCGGTAGGACTATAGGAACTATACAGGATCGGGGGACATTAGTGTGCAAGTTCAGAGTTCCTTGAAGGCAGCAGGACAGGCAGATAAGGTCATTAAGTAATCAGGGGATACACGTCAAGGCATTGAATGCAAGAGCAAGAAGGTTGTGATAAACTGTACAGGACTTTTGTTAGGTCACAGCTGGAGTACTGTGTGCAGTTGTGATTGCCACATAATGAGAAGGATGTGATTACACTGGAGAAGATGCAAAAAGATCCACCAGCATGTTGCGTAGGCTGGAATGATTCAATGAAGAAGAGAGACTAAATTGACTGGGGATTTTTGAGCAGAGAAGGCTAAAAGGGTTCTAAATGAGGTGTACAAAGTTATGAGGGGCAGAGATGAGAAACATTTCCACTTAGTAGAGGGATCAACAACCAGTTGGCACAATTTGAAGGTAAGGAGAAAGAAAACTGGAGGGAATTGGAAGAAAAATGTATTATCACAGAGTATATGGAACTAACAGCATAAATGGGTGGTGAAGGCAGATACCCTCAAGACACTTACGTATTTAGATGAACATTTGAAACACCATAGCATTCAAGGCTATGAGCCAAATGCTGGAAAATGGGATTAGAACAGATCGATGACCAGTGTGGATACGATGGGCCAACGGGCCTCTTTCTATGCTGTAAAAACTCTGATTCTATGGCACCATCCCAACCTGGACGCACACATGATTGTTCTTTCATTGTATCTTGGAAGCACTTCCTTCTACTTACTAATGGTTGTACCTTCAGCTGAAGGACTGTAAAGTTCGAAGAAGATGGATTGCCATCACCTACTCCAGTGCAATAAGGGATCAGATTAATTGCATTCCTCTTTAGTGATGCCTATGTTAGAATAATTTTTAAAAATCATTTATAATTAAGTGCCACAATTTAATACTGAGACTCATTTTTTTCCTCCTCCTTTATCTCTTAGGTGGGAGATGCAGCTTGTTCATACAGAAAGGCTCAGTGTTACAGACAATCTGCAAGATGCTTTGAACAAGTGCACAAATTTGAGCTGGCGCTCCAAATGCTCTGCCGTGGTGAATTATACAATGAAGCTGCTCTGGCTGTGGAAAGGTAATGTTCACACATCTCCAATCTGATGTTTGTTTTTCCCTGAGTGTAACTATATGCATTTTAATGGAACTTAAAAATAGAAAGTTAGTGCTATTGAATTGTGTTTTTTCCATCTGACGTGAAGTTTTTTTCTCAAACAATCCTTTTTATTGTTTGAATCCTACAAATCAGGTTTTCAGCCATAGTACTGAATTAGCTGTTACCAAAGTCACAAATAACATTGTATGTAGCTTTGAGAAAGATAACCTTCCCTGCTGGTCATTCTTGATCTGTTGGGATACATTTGACCACAGTCAACTAACCCTAACCCTAACACCATCCGTCTCTTTCTCCTCGCTACTATTATCCAACCGGCTGAAACTGTATCACTTGTGGTTCTAATCTACCTAACAATAGCTTGATAATCATTTGCAGTGGTTTCCACTCCTGTTCCCTCACCATTACATCCAGTGTTCCCTAAATATCCATTTGTGACCCCGTCCTATTTCTCATCTAAAACCTGCACTAGAAGACATCATCTGAACGCACTGCAATAGTTTCCACATGTTGATAACGCCCAACTCTACCTCAATATCATCTTTCAGAACTCTCCAGTGTTGCCAAATTATCAAACTGCTTTTCTGATATCCAGTACTCTGAGAAGAAATTTTCTTCAAATCAAATAATGAAAGGACTGAAAACATAGCTTTTGATTCTTGCTCCAAACTCTGCTCCCTAATAACTAATTCCATCCCTCTCTTAAGGTCATAAGAAATAGGAACAGGAGTAGGCGATTTGGTCCCTTAAGCCTGCTCCACCATTTAATAGGATCTTGGCTAATCCAACATTCCCCACATTCACTTTCCTGCCCTATCCCCATAACCCTTGATTTCCCTAACTGATCAAGAATCTATCTATCTATCTATCTATCTATCTATCTATCTTTCTGTACACATACTCAGTGCTACAGATGGCTGTGGTTGCAAAGTTTTAAAGACTTTCAATCCTCAGAAGAAATCACCTAATTTCCGTCTTAAATTGGTGTTCCTTTATTCTGAGGCTATGCTTTGATTGTGGACTCTTCTATGAGGAGAAACATACTCTCAGCCTTTATCCTGTCAAGCCCCTCCCTATCCACAGTCTGAGTATCAACCAGTTTGTTCACATCCTTAATGTTATATTTGTTGATCCTGTAATGTTGTTTTCATCTCCAGTTCATATCCTCATTAAAGACTGCCTTTTACACCCCTGTAACACAGCTCAGCTTCCCCCGATCTCAGCTCATTTGCTGCTGAAACCCTGGTCCATGCCTTTGTTGCCTGAAGGCTCAAATGCTGCAACACATGCCTGGCTTGACTCCCAAATTCTACTCTCTCCATAAACTCGGTGCATATCTTAACTTTCAGCAAATCCCATTTTCCCGTTATCCCTCTGCTCTCTGAACTGCATTAGATCCTGTGGAAGCAACATCTTGTTTTCAAAACTCTCATCCATGTTTTCAAATCCCTTCATGGCCTTACCCATGCCTACTTCCGTAATCTCCTCCAGCATTACACTGCTCATAGACATTTTTCAAGTTTATTTTGACTCATACATACCCGTTTATTGTGGCTGTACTTTCAGTTGCTTAGACCCCAGGCACTAGAATTCCTTCCTGACACCTCTCTGCCTTTACCTTGCTTTCCTCCTTTCAGACACTTCCTAAAACCTGACACTTAGACCAAACATTTGTTCATCTGTCCTTTCTTATTTGGCTTGGTGACCACCTCTATTTCAAAATGCACCTGAGAAGTATAAAGTATAGTTGCTGTCCTCCGCATACTTCAAGATGAACTCAGTATTTCGTTGTAATATGGTTATTATACTTAAATGAGCTAGCACTTGCATCCATTATTCATCATTCATTTTTTGTAGAACCATGGCTTTGCTCTGTTCCTCAGTAGAGATATTTACATTGTCTTTGAGGCACACTAAATTGTTAGAAGTTGGCAAGTTGAGGTTGGCAAGTCTAGGTTGAAGCAGTTCTGCAAAATTAACCTCACTTGTAGATGTAAAAATATAGGCAGGAAAGGGCTCTACTTGAGGGACAGAGAGTCACAAGCATCCCTTTGAAGACCTGTCAGGAAAAAGCACTGGGACAGACCTGCAAGCATCAGGGTGAAACTGCTAATCTGCGGGAAGGCTAACTATGACAAATTTAGGCAGAACTGCAGAATGTAGATTGGGGGCAGCTGTTTCAGGATAAATCCACATCTGTCATGTGGGAATCTTTTAAAAGCCAGTTGATTAGAGTTCAGAAGCAGCATGTTTCTGTAAAAATGAAGGACAAGAAAGGCAAGATGCAGGAATCCTGAATGACACAGAAATCATGAGCTTAGTCAAAAAGAAAAATGAGGCATAAGGTTTAGCAATCAGAAGATGGTCAGAGCCCTTGAAGAACTTAAAGAAAGCAGGGATAAACTTAAACAAGGAGTTTGGAGGGCTAAAAGGGACCACAAAATGTCCTTAGCAAACAGGATTAAGGACAATCCCAAAGCGGTTTATACATATATAAGGAACAAGAGTGTAGCTAGGGAAAAGAGTAGGTCCAGTCCGTGACAAAGGAGGGAATTTATGTTTGGAGTTGAAGGAAGTTGGTGAGGTCCTTTAATGAATACTTTGTATCAGAATTCTCAAAGGAGAAGGACATGGTCGATGGTGAGTCTAGAGAGGGGTATGTTGATATTTTAGGGCATGTTGATATAAAAAAAGGGGGAGGTGTGGGTGTTTTGAAAAGCATTAAGGTAGACTCGGACTTGATGGGATCTACCCCAGAATAATGAGGGAGGAAATTGCTGGGACCTTGTACAAAATCTTTGTATCCTCTTTAGTCACAGGAGCAGTCCCAGGGGACTGGAGAATAGCCAGTGTTGTTCCTTTCTTTAAGAAAGGCAACAGGGATAATTTGGGAAATTACAAGCTGGCAAGCCTTGCATAGTTGAAATATGGACTTCTTGGCGATAGGTAGCATGGCTTTGTGCAGGGAAGGTAGGGCAGGACTATGGATGTTTTCTGGCAAGGCCTTTGACAAGGTCCCTCATGGAAGGCTGATCTAGAAGGTGGAATCACATGGAAGAGTGGTGAGAGCTGGTAAGGCGGATACAGAACTGGCTTGGTCATAGACGACAGACTAGCAGTGGAAGCATGTTTTTTGATTGGACATCTGCAACCAGTGATGTTCTTTAGGGATCAGGGATGTCTGGGACTCATGTTGTTTGTAATATGAACGATTTGCAGGAGAATATAAGTGGTCTCATTACTGAATTTGTGGATAACAAAGATTTGAGGAGCTTCAGGTAGTGAGGAAGATTGCCAGAAGGCACAGCAGGACATGGATAGGCTGGAGACTTGGGCAGAGAAATGGCAGATAGAATTTCATCCACACGCATGCGATGTGATGCATTTTGGAAAGTCTAATGCAGGAGGGAAGTATGCAGTAAATGGCAGAACCCTTAAAAGCATTAACATACAGAGGGATCTAGATTCACCCAGGTCCACAGTTACCTGAAAGTCACAACACAAGTGGACAAGATGGTCAAGAAAGCATATAAGCATGCTTTCCTTAATCAGTCGGGACCTAGAGTATTAAAATTTGCGAGTCATGTTGCACCTATATAGAACTTTAGTTAAGCCATGTTTGGAATATTGTGTACAGTAGTGGTCGCCACACAGCCAGAAGGATATGGAGGTTTTAAAGAGGGTACAGAACCTGTTTGAAATGTACTAGCTATGAGGAGAGATTAGACAAACTTAGTTTATTTTCACTTGAATGCCGGGGGCTGAGGGGCAGCCTCATAGAAGTTTACAAAAATATGAGAGGCATGTATAGTTGGAGTCTTTTTCCTAAGGTAGAAATGTCAATTACTCGGCATGTGGGTTTAATGTAAAGAGGGAAGGTTTAAAGGAGATATGAGAGGCAAATTTTTTTAACACAGAGGGTGGTAAGTATCTGGAATGTGCTGCCAGGGGAGGTAGTGGAAGCAGGTAACAACAGCAATATATAAGAGGCATCCTGACAGATACTTTTGTACTTTGTCTTTAGTCATAAAGTCAGTATTCCCATGTGCTTTTTTCACAGCAGCCATCAACAATGACCTGAAACATTAATCCATTTCTCACCACAGATGCCACCTGACCTGTTGAGTGCTTCCAGCATTTCCTGTTTACTTTTCAGATTTCCAGCAACTGCAGTTGTTCAATTCAGGAGCAAAGATTTTTGTTTTTAATCCCCAGCTCGCTTTCCTGTTGCATCCTTTTTAAAGCTTTAACTTCTTGGTTTATATTGTTTCTCCTAAATTTTTCTTCCAAAAAACAATCACTTGCCATGTCATTGATTTGTAATGTATTTGCCATATGTCTGTTTATTTCACCACTCTGACTTCCTGAAGTCTGCTGTTATCCTCATTGCTTATGACTTTTCCAAACATTGCGCTGATATCCAAATCCAGGTTATTGATAAGAGCAATAATTTTAATAAAAATTATTGCTAGAAACCAGATTACACTTCCTCTGGTCTGCGAAGCAATAGTTCTACACACTACTTCATTTTGTGTCTTTCAGTCATTTTTGTACCTGTGCTGCCACTGCATGTGTTAATCCCACCGAGCTTCAGTTGGCTGGCATTGTCTATTGTCTACCACTTTCTCAAAGGTCATGTGAAATGTATGTGCACAACGTCAACCCTCATCATTACCTTGTCAAAGAACGCAAATCAAGTTGGTCAGAACTGATTTGTCTTCAAGTAAAACATACTAAATGTTCTTCTAAGTAATAAACCCAATTTGTCATTTCGAGGTAATTCTAAATCACTAATGTTAGACTGTTTGTTCAGTAATTAGGTATTAATTCCTTTTTTTTTTGAATAAAGCATTGATCTTTGCAACTTTCCTGTCTCTGCCATCATTGCCATATTCAAAGAACTTCAGAAGACTGTGCTTTGAGCCTTTGCTGCTATCACCCTTATTTTCCCAAGTAACCTAAAACTGTGTCCATCTGGACCATCTGTGACATTTTCAGCTTATGTGCCACCAACTATTTTACCAACTTTTTTAAGACTATGATATCAATTTCTCTACCATCAGTTCCATTAGTGGGTAGCATCTTCTGATGACAAGTGCATTTACTCTGTTAACCATTCATTCTTGTATGTTATAGACCGATAGATCCCAAAAGATAATTACTAATGTATAAATCTCATTGCTTTTAATTTCTAGATACAAAGACATTCAGCCTTCTATAAAACTTAAATACTCTGCAGAGCAGTTTCGTCTAGAGGCTGCTGCCATGTTTCTGAGGGAGAATAAACTCACTGAAATGACAGCCTCTCTGAATTATCTTGATCCTGAAGACCAGCTATTTTTCCTCAAGTCAAACAAGTGTTTGTCTCAAGCAGCTGAGCTGTTGAAAAGCCAGAGCCGGGAGGAGGAAGCTGCCATTTTGATGCGGGAACACGGAAAGCTTCAAGAAGCAGCAAGACTTTCGAACAAGAAAGAATTTCAAGCTGAGTGCCTCATTGCCGCAGTCCGAGTGAGTCTACTCAAAGAGAGCAAAGGAGAAGAGATAAGTGCCTCAGACAAAGAAAGCATCCAAGATATGCTGGATGAAGCAACCAAACTCTTCAAAATCAGAAAACGACAGTCGTCTGATATAGCAGAAGCCTTGCTCTTGAAGGGTCTTTTAAACAGAGAGACAAATGTGATTGCAGAAGCTTTTGAGATTTTTGTCGATGAATATAACAGTGCTGGAGCTGTGGAGAGCCTCTTTTTCTTACTGCAGAGAGACCCTAAGGCTTTGTCAGACTTTGAACGATCATTGACTTGTCTGGAAATGTTGATGAGTTTGGTGAAAGCACTGGACAATCCCCAGAACAATGCCGAGAAAGACATGGTCAAAGCTTGCTATGCGTTTTTTGGAATTTTGCAAGTAGATGCCAAGTATGGCAGAATTCCACTGTATGAAGGAGTGAGAATTTTGCAGCTGGATTTTGACTTGGACCTAAGTGAAAAGCAAGGCAATTTTTACAAATGTGAAATCAAACAAATTAGGATCTTCCTACAGAAGCACTTTCTGCGTCACCTTTGTGACTTTGCTGATAAAATCAAGTCAGTGGGACAGAATACTCCAGATATTTGTCCAAAGTTTATCTGTGGTTTAGCCTGTAACTCTCCTTCCTGTCAAGATTATCATAGGCCTTTGAAAAGATATGAAGCAAAATATTCACTTAATGCCAAGGTGTATCTGACTGTTCTAAATGGAATATTGCTGGAAGCCAAAGATTTCTATTCTAAAGACACCTTTCCAGAAGTTGAGAAAATTGAAGATATTCTTACTGGAGACCCATATGCTTTATGCACCCCTCTGCTGAATGCTTTTTACCCAAAACATTTTCACCAGAGGGTTATATCCGAAAGCCCTGTTGTTTGCCGAGAGATTTTGGGATTAATAAAGGTGATTCAGTTTCACAGCTTCAAATCTGTGCTGCGGGAGTACATATCTCATTGTTTTCAATGTTCCACAGTAGAGGAAAGAAGAGAATCAACAGATTTGTGGGTACAGACCCAACAGGTTTATCTTCTGACTTGTGACTACCCCAAGAAAATTGAAGATCTGCTCTCGAAAGTTGAGCAAGAATATGACTCTGAGCGAAAGAAATGTGAAGGAGGCTCACGTGTTCAAGACAAAAGGAGAACAGGCCTAAGAGGCAAGCGTGGAATGTTGCCTACCAACACGTTACACTTATGTATTTTCAGACTTCTAGTTACATCTGTGAAGGATTTTTATGAACACGCTGACCCAGAGAAATGTATTCATCACTTTTTCCGGTTCATGAATGTACTAATTAAAAGATGTGCTGGTCTCCTCATCCCGAGTATAGCAAATACCGTGTCAGTGCTTGAATTCCAGTTTATTTTGTGTTGTTCCACCCTTATGCGTTTCAAGAAGAACCTTGTGGTTTGTCTCCCAAGGAGTTTTATAGCTCTCATTCATTACTGGAACTTCATGTTCAAAGTTAATGTCAAACACAGAAAGTCCAGAGATGCATTTAACATCATAAGTGAGTTCAAGCCAAAGGACGTCCCCAAAGTCATTTATAAAATGAATAAACATTTGACTTACCTGATCAGTGTCTTGTGTGGTGGGGAGCGCAGAGACTTCAATGTACTTCTGGATGCTTTCAGTGATCCAGATTATACTACTTCGGGAGAGGCTGAGAGGACAGCAGTTCTGGGAGTGGTGATGTTGATAAATGCAAGATACGTTTTGGAAGAATGTTCGGTGGAAACGATGATCAGATCTAGTTTCTGTGAAGTAGAGGAACAGTTGAAAAAACTCACTCAACACCATGGATCAAAGGTTCCAGCAAGGCTCATAGATCTTGTTGAAAACGTTAATAGAGCACAAAGTGTTAATGATGTGGTGATCAGCCTTCAGGAGTTACTGAAGGCGAGAGATGATGAGTATTTGCATGACTGCTTCTGGAAATGGGATCATCCCTCTGGCCCTGGTTCAGTACCGGGTATTTACTTTCAGAACATTCAAGCTAAAAGATTCATTAATGAATGTTGGACAAAAAATTATGAGATTGCACACATCCCGGAGAAAGACCACGATGCTCCAGACAATGCTCTATACCTTGAGGAAAAGGATGAACACCTCCAGGACATGGCTTTTGAATTGCAAAAGAAAGCAAATTTGAGACGGAAATGGCAGTGTGTAGTACATGTAATTAATGCATGCGGGTACCTGCTAAAACTCTTGACGCACACAGATTCAGATACTATCCAACCGAAGACTGAGGTTCCCAGCAACTTCAAAGAGGCCTATGTAGATAAGACGCAGTGCGATATTTGTGGAGTGAGATTTTCTAAGAGCTATGCTGATTTATGTCGAAAGCAGGAACATGAAGAAGCTGCTAACCATATCTCAGAAAACTGGGAAGACAATGAAGATGAAGAGGAAAGTGAAACTTTATACGTGAACAATTGTTTCGAAACCCACATCAGATTCGAAGAGCATATAAAGAAAGAAGCTGCCTACAATGCTTATTTGACTTACTTTGGGGGATCTGTGGAGCCTGTCATGTGCAAAGGCAGAAGTATGCTGCATTCTCTTGAGGAAAAGGCAACCGATTACTTGACATTTAAAGAACTATCAAAAGTGATGTCTGGAAAACTGCAGGACAGTATTAATGAAATTAGAAATTTGATCGACAGTATCTACAACCAGAAGACCTGGGTAAACGGTAATCTACTTCTCTTCAGAATTAGCTAACTTATTTTCATTATTTAAAAACACGAGAAGTCAATTGGTCTGACCACTGTGTTTTTCTTAAGGTTCCATTTTGTAGTTGCCTAGTTATTGCTCATAGCTTAAACGTAGAATCTTAAGAGTGCAGAAGTCAAGATCCTTTGTCTCATCACTGAAGACCTGTTAATTCCCCTGCACTTTACACGGTACCTGCATTTTTTAAAATTTTCGTACATGCATACATCTCAATGTTGAAAATGATTCATGAACTTATTTCCATCATTCTCTTAGGGACTGGGCTCCAGAACTTAACAACGCGCTGCCTCAAAATAATTTTCCTCCTCTTCCCCTAGGTTCTTTTACCAATTCCTTTAAATGTAGGTGCTGTGTTCCATTTATAGAAAAGTTAATAACCATTGAGGGATCTTGTTGTCATGTGATAATGCCCCTACCTCTGGACCAGGAGATCCAGGTTCAAGTCCCACCTGCCCAAGATATCTGTTATAACTTGTCCAAACTTCTTGATCAAAATAACTCAAATGGAACAGTTTTTTTTTAATGAGAGAAGCCACGATTGTCTTTTTTGGAGCAAAGTATTTGGGTGACGTTTAATAGAGGTGCTGAAAATGAGGAGGGTCTTTCACAGCATTATTTAGGGAGAATTAATAATCACAGGTCCCAGATTTAAGCTCATTGACAAAAGATCCAAGAAGGGGATAAGTTCACTTTTAAACCAGCAAGTTTTTAATGATCTTGAATGCATCCTCTGAAAGCTTGGTGGAAGCAGAATCAGTTGTAGCTTTCAAAAGGAAAACCAGATGTACAGTATGTTTTAGAAGTTTGCAGAGGGCTCTGCAGAAAGCTCGAATGGGACTCGTGGATCGTTCTTTTGTGGAGCCAATACAGGCACAAAAGGTCAAATTACCTTACTCTGTTTTGCATGATCTGATGATTAAGTCAGCCAAAATAATCCATTTCCTGTTTTGTGGAAGGATTGCAATAAGTTGGTGCTTGTTGCTGCCTCTCAACTAAATGATCCTTCAGACTTTCGGACAAATAAAATTCTGCATATTCAACCTCTGTCCTTGCTCACTAATTTAAATGGCTGGCCTCTACTTCTACAAGGCACATCATCTCAGACAATCTGTTACTTCGTCTCTTGTCTTGCTACCCTTAATCATTTTAAACACTGACTTGGATTCTCTCCGAACTCAAAGCATAAGCCTGGATTGCTGAAAGTACGTATGTCAAGGATCATTGTAGTTGACTTTGTATGATTGTGTTTCTTGAGGTGTAGGTGGAGAAAGGAACCAGAATGAGACACAGTTCTTCAGGTGGAGTCTCACCAAAACTTTGTCACAAAGTACAGCTTGGAATTGTTGTGCACGAATATAAAAATAAGCCCAAATATGAATCCAGTTTGGAATAAGTCTGTGTCAGAAATATTCTGCAAATGCCCATAGTAGATTAGTTAAGTGCGGCTATTTAGTGCACCAGGTAGTATTTTGCTGAGTCCTCTCATTAAAGTTGTAGCAATATTGGGCAGTGCAGATTAAGTATCATCCTGTGGGAAAGATGAGCAAAAAGCAGAGCCTATCACCATGGGTGTGTTTTACCAAGCATGTTCAGCTTTGGAGTAGTACTGGAAAGATGTGGGAACAATTTTCTGCCCATTCCTCTGATCTGAGGAATACTTGCATGATAATGGGAGGAAGTAATGTTAAAACAGCCCTTGACTTGGTCTTTTACTCAAACCAAAAGACTATTAACTTAGTCAGTTCTGAGGAAGGGTCACTCGACCCGAAACGTTAACTCTGACTTCTCTCCATAGTGCTGCCAAGCTTGCTGAGCTTTTCCAGAATTTTCTGTTTTTGTTTGATTTGCAGCATTTGCAGGTGTTTTGGATTTTATTAAGTATTAATTTAGTGTTGGATATACGAGACATCGATATAATTCAATTGTTTGTCCATTTATATTCCTTAGGTGAAAAAATATTATCAGAGAAAATTGACATGCTTCAGGAAATTGTAAATGAAGCTGACATGCGACAGAATCAATTACTCTGCCACACTGATGATGGTATGTTTAAATAACTAACAGCAGTTAATCACACCAAGAAGTAATTCTAACTTGGCTGTATTGGTTGTTTTGGCACATTTCTATACAATGGCCATTATAAAATGTTTCTTTTAAGATAATTATCTTAAACAATGTTATATATTATAATTTAATGTTCAGCAAAACCAGTAAGGTTCTTATAATAGATTGAGCAGTCGTAAAGTTATTACGCATACAGTACATGCAACCCATACTTAACAGAAGCAACTTACAGCCACGTCGGTTTGTTAGGGATTTAATTGAACTACAGTCCTGCTCTTAATAATTTAGCTGATTAAGCGCTTTTCAATCCTCTTTCCCAAGAGCAATTAGCGATGGGCAATAAATGATGGCCTAGCCAGCTATATCCGCATCCTGTGAATGGGGAAAAAAAATCTCATTTAAGTCTGTTACTTTGCATGTATTTCTCTCTCACAGCCACACAACAATCTGCACATTCCCACATTACGTCATAATGCCAAAAGTAAACCTACATCTTCATAAGGAAAATCAAATTTACCTTATTAATAACTTGTTAATAAGGTAATTTCTTTATTAAGTCTTTTTTGTCCCATTGGGATAATGATATCCGTATACCTCCCTTACTGTACCTTATTAATATTTTGCAGCTGTTACACATAATTGCTGTCCTGTTAAGTGAAACCTTTACTTGTATGCAGGGCGAACTTAATGCATCCCTGGAGGTGAACTGGGAGATGGGAAGCGGAGTGATGGATGGGGAGGATTTCTCTAATGGGACAGAGTGGAGACCCTGTCACTTTCTCCAATCCCCCAATTAGCTCCAGTGCCCGAAGGGTCAAGGACAGAGTTCCCACCAGCACTGGTATTTACCACCATCAGTGGGTGGGGACCACACACTTGTCAAACAGCCTAGTAAATGCTGGCCTGCAGCTGTTTGTGGGGGAAGATTGGTTGTGACATTTTTCTCGGGCATCCTGAGCTCAACAATGGAACCTGGCTACAGAAATAAAGGCACTGACAAGAAGCCACAGCTCTTAGCCCCTTACCCTCTCCCAGTACTTGACAGAGATCCCACTCCCTCCTCTCTACCCCTGCAACTTACTTTGCCACTGACTATCTTACTTATTGGCCCGATTGCACTGCTGGCAATGGCTAATGCAACCCAGCTGCACTAATGGTGCTGGAGAGCTGCTTATGTCTTATTGGTTGGCAAACCTCTGAGATGAGTAGTTACTTTGCAATGACAGGTCCAGAGACAAATTATCCCTGATGGAGCCAGGACCCCGACAACAAACAGGGAGCCAGTGGACAGGCTGTCTGCTACGACCATTAAATTCCTCCCTTTACCTTTGATTCTGTGCTGTTTGAATTCGGCTCTTTCATGCAGAAAGCCCTATTGAGAGATGTGTTATCTACCTAGTTGTTACACAATCTCACTGTAATTTAGGGATACTTGTAGAGTCTTCAATAGCGTGACTTTAGTTGATTTCCTTATTAAGTAGTGATTGATTTCAAAATAAATTTATCAGTGTCGTACAATCAATCTCAGTTCAAATGTTCAGTTGTCAGTATCTTGTACTATACCAACCTGCATAGCAAAAGTTAATAACTAAAAGCTACATCAAAGTAAGTTTTGAAAAACGGATAGTATTCCAATGGCAGATTTGATTAACTTGGATTAACCCTTTCCTTTACGATTAATATGAATTTCTGACTAATACTGAAAATCAGTATTGGTTGAAGACCAGTTTTTGACAAAATAGCTATTATTTATCTGCTTACTTTTTGTGGGAATTTGCTGCATGCAAACTAGCTGTTACCTTGGGATGTCTTAAACAAATGTGAGATGAAGAGATTTGCTGTCAAAGCTTTTTGTCTTACACTGACCAGGACAGTTGCAAGAACAGCAGAGGGTGCAACAATTTATACTGAATGAGAAGACGGCATTGATTGGTTGGCAAGACATCCATTGCAATGCCATAACCAATCAGCACCATATTTGCATGCATTATGAATTGTTGCTGCCTATGAAATTTTACATTATTGCATCTATCCAGATGAATCCAATGTGGAAAATTTCAACAGCGTCTTTGTCAGCAGTGCTCAAGTTCTGTATTCCACGTGATAAATTGCCTTAAGTTACAGCAACAGGAAACATTGAACAAAGAGATATGTAGTGTGAACAACTAATTGGCTTAACTGGCTTCAAATCAGGCCAGTCACATTATACACTGAAAGTATTGCATTCCTGCTGCTCTTTCGTTTGGTAACAGTTTCTCAAATGTAATGGAGTGTTACCTGGCTAATATGCTCCAGGTTGTTGCTGGAATTCATAACTTAGTTGCAAGTTGCATTATGATCATCCATCTCTGATCACAGACGTATAACTGCAGAAGGCAATGTTATTCAATTGAGATTTTGAATCTACATGAAATGTCAGTTGCCTTCAGAAGAATATCTTTGTTGTGCCTTCACCTTATTGTCTCTGGCTGGAGGCTCCCTCACCCTGTTGGCATGTTTAACCATGTGCATTTCTATCAATTTGTTATTCCATTAAATTTCTAATGCACACAACAATATTTTGCCAGGAGCTGAAGCTAACCACAGTGCGGCTGATTTTGAAGAAGGCCTAGAAGACAGGCAAGAAAACTTTGATGAATTACGCTCTAAGAAAAGGAGGAAGGGCACCAAGAAAAAGCGAAAGCATTAACATGAAATCAAACATGTATACTGGGTGCACAGAAGGAGATCAGAATTTCATTGTATACCAGCGTTCATTTATCGTTTGTGCCTCTGATAATGCTGATTGAATGTACACATCATTTTGTATTTTCCAATACTTATATCATGAATAGTTATTAGTTTCCTTTATACTTTTATGGAATTCAACGCTTGCATTGCAAGAGCCCTCCTTAAAGACCAGGCTTTTTAAACTGTTTTAAATGTTGACAATAAGGTACAGCGTTCCTTTTCTAAGACGGTCTGGTTATTTTTCAAATTCTTTTTACAACTAATTTACAAATTAGTTTTTTACCATTATATGATTAATATGTTGGTCCTTGGAATCAGAAAAGAATGCTCATCCTTAAAGTATTATTCAGATAGAAGGATATTTTCCTGATCAGAGTTCATAAAATCCCTACAGTGTCGAAAGCAAGCCATTCGGCTCATCGGGTCCACACCAATTCTCCGAAGACCATACCACTCCAACCCACCCCACTACCCTATCACTATAACCCTGTGTTCCCCATGGCTAATCCACCCAGTCTGCAAATGCCTGAACACTATGGGGCAATTCAGCATGGCCAATCCACCAAACATGCGCATCCTTGGACTGTGAGAGGAAACCAGAACACCTGGAGGAAACCCATGCAAACCTACAGAGAATGTGCAAACTCCACATAGACAGTCACACAAGTGTGGAATCGAGCCTGGGTCCTTGGCACACTGTGAGGCAGCAGTACTAACCATTCAGCCACCGTGCTGATGAGCTGCAAAACTTCTCAACCAGTTCTTAAGGTCATCTCTGACCTAACTGGAAGGTCATTTTTAACTTGGACTATTTTAGAAAACTCATCTCTACTGAAACTCTCTTATTCAGTGTCTTGTCTCAAAAAGACAGTGCCTCCTAGTGGTAGTATGGACCTTAAATTTTTTTTCTGGATTTGCTTTAAAACTTTATTTATCATGGTTATTGTCTCATTTTGTAAAAGGCTGTTGCATTTGAAATTTTACTTTGATTTGCAAAAATAACTCAGAGGAAAACAGTGTAAGATGATTGTAATATGTCATTTACCTATGTGGATGTAGATTACCTGTACTTTTTATGACGTTAAATCATTTGTTTTAAAATTGAATGTTTTGTGCTTACATTTGAAATAGTTGTTTGTAGATATGAGCTTACTTGGACCAATTTTTTTTTTACTAAAAATCAACAAGCTAATTTTGTTCATAAATGTGAAATTTCTCAAATGTAAAAACAGGCATTTGAAGTCTACTCATGTTAATTAAAATTTCATTTTGGCCAGGGAAGGAAAAAAGCTATATTACCCATTGATTTGAATTAAATGATTCAAATAGCCAGCAGGAGGCAATTTCTTTTTCTGTTGGTGCAAGATTTGAGTACTAATTAATAGCTTGAATTATGCTTTTTGAATTGTGTAAAGTAATTGGTAAAAATTGCTTGATACAAAAAAAAACTCCCATCAAATAATGGCTTTTGCTGAAAGTTTGAAATATTTTAAGAACACCATAGGTTATGACATTGCTAATTCATATAGTTAGTTTCTTGTATTTTTTTAAGCCATTGATTTGATAAAATGTCAAGTTTGCTTTGCACCCTTGGAAAAAGTTGCTTTCCAAGTTTAAAATAATGTTGGTCAACATGTGAAATTCCCTCTATTCTTCTAGAGTCTAGTTTTAAGGACAAGAAAATGAGTAAATAAATTGCTAAGTGAGTTCCAAATGTATGTTAAAATACGTATATTTTATACTTTACCAATTAATTTTTTCTGAAAAATTGTGTGTATAATGTTTTACGAACAGAATGAAGCTTTAGTTTTTCTAGATGTGACTTTGAGTACAAAAGGAGACTTTTCCTTCTAAAGCATAATTTTTACTCAGATGCCTTATTTAGCGTCAAGTCTGTAATAGTTGTTCTAAAGATTCCTGTGTTTTTTGGGTCTGTATTATAGAAGTAAAATCATTTTCCACACTATTATCTTGTGTTGTCAGTTTCTGACTGTTAGAGACAATGGATTGGGTTAATTTGACTAATTGGATTACTTAATCCTATTTGGA